CTGCAAAAAACGCATCTTCGCACGGGCAGCCCGTGCGTTGGCCAATTTTTTTTTTTTTTTTAACCAAGCTTAGATAAACTTATTATTATAAAAACCACGTTTTGCGCTTCATCTTGCCTAGTTACAACGACCCCGTAATACCTCACACCTACGGATCGAAAACATTTACTCTAGATGCATGTACGGACCCGTGAGAGTTTTTGATGGATAAGTTGCTAACTCGAGAAGCAGGAAAGCTAGAAAATGAAATTTTAAGGGAATGTTTTCTCACAGTCGTGGTCACCAGTTCCAACTCTTTTAGCTAGAAGCATGTGTAGGGAAAAACCGCGTCGTTAGCGACAAAACCCGCGAGGATCTGTGCAAAAAACGCATCTTCGCACCGACAGTCGGTGCGCTGACAAATTATTTTCCAATTGTTTTCGGAAAGAGCTATCGACAGAGCCGCCAGTGAGTGGTTGCTGCTCGCAAGAGACGCATGCGATTACTTCTGCCCTTTATAGAGTAGACTGTGAGGGGCGTTGACTTGTGACCTAGGCCGCAAATCTGATGAGGGCAGCATACTGTTGATATGCTTATGTTTGGTGCTGTGAAAAGGCATAGGTCCCTCGACCGAATTCTCAAAGTTCTTAGCATCTTGGCCAGCAGATGTCACCGTCAGTGACTGTAATATGCTGTAGCAGTCAGTTAAGTGCGTGAAAATTGCGTGTACTTCACTGGCGGTCTGATCACCTGCGAGGATTTTACTGAAAGCAGTGATTGTGAACCGACGAAAAATCCCTTGACTCGAATGAAATTTCCGGAACTCTCCGCATTTTTTTTTTCTGAACCTCTCAGGAATTTCTGTATTCAACAAAGCAGTATCACGGCCGCAGTGCCGCTTTAAAATACACGTGCATACCGTCGCCGACTCCTAGATGGACTGGTTTCAGATGAAAATGAAACCTGGTACCTTCAGCTTATCTAACTGATGCACTGCCACTTATGTTAGTCGGAGAACGAGCAAATCACAGCTTCCCTCAGTTTCTAGGAGACGGAAGATTTTCCCATTGGGCACACTTCCCCTACTTTTC